CGTGAACGCTAGATGGCGCCACGATGAACTCCAAATTCATCGGAGCCAAGCACTTTCGCGGCCATGAACGCTAGATGGCGCCACGTGCAACCCCAAAATCATTTTAACTTATGTTTTAAAATGTTAATTAACCTAATAATTGATTAAATAATAGGTAAGTGATACAATAAACGAATAACGTTTATTTTTCAATCCCTGACCGAAAACTCTGCTTATATGTCGAAAAGAGATAAATTAAAAACGTCTTTCTCTTCTAATAGAAATGCGCCATCCCATTTTTTATTTGTATTGCAGTAGTGATTTCACAACAATGAGGATGCAAATGAATCGAAATGAACGTATGTTAACATAAGTCAAAGCGAGGAAGTCTGTGTAAATATTACCTCGTCTCGTATAAACTGAGCGGAAATGATCTGTGATACGAATTGAAAATAATTAAATTTTAGTGATCTACTAACGAATTAATATAAATTTTGACGGTACATTAATTTCTAGGAGAAAAATCTGTAACATGTACTTATAAAGAATGAACAGAGTGCTATAACATTCTCTAATAGTGACATGTTACATATACATTCGTCTCATTTATTTTGCGCCATGTATATTCATAATTTCATTGTTTTTGTCAGATACATATTTCATGCAAGGAGTGTTATGATTTTGGGAAGATACCGCTTTCTGTCAACAATTGACTACCGAACTGCATTACCCAAAAAGTGGTCAACCCAAAATTGTGGAGTACCCGGACATATATTACAAAGTAATTTTGTATCACTAAACAAACCTCTGTATTTAACCAGGTAGAGAATCTAAATATGAATATACATACATACGTACAAAGTTTGTAAACTCTTCTTCCACCATCGCCATCTGATTTTATTTTCTCTGCAATTTTTCTGTTTTACAAAGTATGAAACTGAATTGATTGACAAGTGAATGATTCTCTAGGATAAATGAAAGGTCACTGAGTGCACCATTGTTCGAAAATATGGCATCAACGAGTAATCCTGAAAGTGCAGAGAGAAAAAATCGTCTGAATTCAGAGAAGTCGCCGTATTTGCTGCAGCATGCCACAAATCCAGTTGATTGGTATTCGTGGTGCGATGAAGCTTTGAAGAGAGCAAAGAAAGAGGACAAATGTATTTTTTTATCTATCGGTTATTCCACGTGCCATTGGTGTCACGTCATGGAAAAAGAATCATTTAAAAATAAGCAAATCGCCGAAATAATGAACAAGTACTTTATCAACATAAAAGTAGATAAAGAGGAGAGGCCAGACATCGATAGGATATACATGACATTCATACAAGCAAGTAATTGTAACTACATTGAATTCTAATTAAACATTGTACATAGATTAAAAACTATTGTTCGACATAGGCAACGAGCGGACACGGTGGGTGGCCGATGAGCGTCTTCCTCACACCTGATTTAAGACCCATAGTCGGTGGAACTTATTTCCCTCCAGAAGACACATTTAGACAAACAGGATTTAAAACAATTTTACTCAACGTTGCCCGAAAGGTACAGATACTTGATTCTATAGACAATTGTAAGATTAATATTAACTCTTTATTTTATATCTTCTAGTGGAACGAATCCAGAAGTAAACTAGCAGAAGTTGGTTCCAGCAACCTTGAAACTTTACGAAATATTTCGAGAATTCCGCACACGTCTAAGGTAAGTAGATGAAATAAGTTCTCTTATCTTTTACTTAAAAGAATTGTGTCTATTCTCACGTGTATAGATACACGATATACCTCCATTGGTATGTGGTAACATGTGTGTTCAACTACTTGCAAGCGAATTTGAGCCTAAGTTTGGTGGATTTGGTTCCTCGTACAGTATGCAATCCCCGAAGTTTCCGCAACCGGTGAACTTCAACTTCTTGTTTCACATGTATACACGCGATCCTGATAGCGATTTCGGCCCAAATTGCTTGCATATGTGCGTGTACACTTTGAGGAAAATGTCTTACGGCGGCATTCATGATCACGTGGGCCAGGTAAGGATTTTGATCGCTGAGATTCATCGTTCAGAAGACTGTTAAGATTTCTATCTCCAAGTAGGGCTTCTCGAGATATGCTACAGACGGAGAATGGCATGTTCCACACTTTGAAAAAATGTTATACGACCAGGGTCAATTAATGAAGTCCTATGCCGATGCGTACCTGGCGACCAAAGATAATTTTTTCGCTGAAATCATAGATGACATCGCGACATACGTACTAAGAGACCTTCGACACGAGGTATCTCTATCCGTTCTTTTGAAAAGAACTGTTTCTGTGTTTACGCTTGTCATTTATTCTGTGTGCTTTAGAAAGGTGGATTTTATAGTGCTGAAGATGCAGACTCTTATCCGACGCATGATGCAGGTGCGAAAAAAGAAGGTGCTTTTTACGTGTGGACCGCTGCAGAGATCAATTCACTTCTCGATACAGAGATTTCTAAAGATAATAATACTAAGCTATCGGATATATTTTCTAGGCATTTTAATATAAAGGAATCGGGAAATGTAAAACCGTCCCAAGTATGTAACATTTCGTTTTCTATAAAAATGAAGAAATTAATCTTTATATCGCTAACGAAATGTATTTGATATTTATTAGGATCCACATGGCGAGTTGACAGGAAAGAATGTGTTAATGGCATACGACGATATCGAGGAAACTGCTAAACACTTTAATCTTAGCGTCGAAGAAACGAAGACACATCTCAAGGAGGCATGTTCTATTTTATATAAAGCGAGATCTGCAAGGCCGCGTCCTCATTTGGATGATAAAATTATTACAGCATGGAATGGTAAGCTTTCAAGAAGAATGCATTTCGTATATAACACTGTTTCAATAGCTAAATTAATGAACTATTGGAATTCAGGTCTCATGATAACCGGCTTAGCTTTCGGAGGTGCGGCAGTTGACAATAAACGATATATTGAATGTGCGGCAGATGCGGCGAAATTTATCGAACAACATCTGTTCGATGAGAGCAAAAATATGTTACTTCATAGTTGTTATCGCGGTGAAAAAAACACGATTACTCAAATGTGAGATTATTTTTATTATTCAACTATAAATTCTGAGTCTCAATATTATCACATTCTTAACACCATATTTCTAGGCGTAAACCGATACCTGGTTTCTTAGATGATTATGCATTCGTTATAAGAGGATTGTTAGATCTGTATGAATCTAGCCTGAACGAGAAATGGTTAAAGTTCGCTGAGAAGTTGCAAGATCTTCAAGATCAGTACTTCTGGGACGAGGAAGACGGCGGGTATTTTACGACGACGTCGAGGGATCCGAGCGTGATCGTCAGGCTCAAGGAAGGTATGTTTAAGTATTTTCAAGGCGATACTTGCGGCGATCAAAATTCGTGTGCTCTCGTGCTAGTACTATCGTGGTAGTTGCAGCCGCGTTTAACTGCGAAGTCATAGAAACCAACGTTTTGCAATAAAGCTGAGCGTATCCAAATATTTATAGCTAGGCCTGGTTAGTGTTTCATTAGATTTAGTCGTTAAGTTCATCAGGCTGTGGCTGTTGGATGCGTTTTAATACTAGGCACTAACATGTACGAGAAAGAAAGATCGGGTATACGTATTTTAAGATTTATAATCTCATACACAGCTTACGACGGAGCGGAACCATCCGGTAACTCGGTCGCCGCTGAGAATTTACTGAGGTTGGCCGATTACTTGAGTCGCGACGAATTCAAGGACAAAGCGCTGCACCTTTTCAGAGCGTTCAGGCATTTGCTGATGCAGAGATCCATCGGAGTTCCACAGCTAACGTCGGCGCTCGTTCGCTGCCACGATGATGCAACGCAGGTACATGCGATGAACTTACGCATATCGCGAGAGCCGCGCCGAGTGTTCTCGGAAATTTGATAAGCCCTGAATTTTCTGATCCAGATTTACGTGGCTGGGAAACGGGGCGCCAAGGACACCAACGATTTGCTTCGCGTTATATATAAACGTTTGATACCCGGCAGGGTTCTCATCTTAATCGATCACGACGAGAGGGACAGCGTGTTTCGTAAAAACGAGCATTTCGATAATATGAAGTGCATAGATGGTCGAGCAACCGCTTACGTGTGCAAGCATACCTCGTGTTCCTTGCCTGTTACGAGTCCCGAGCAGCTGTCAACGTTACTGGATGAAAACTGATAAAAAACATTTTGTTAATGAAACAAGTAGATCGACAGAAGCAAGAAAATTATCGAATTTTGTTGATGTTCTGTAACCAAATTATGTATAATAAAATCTAATGAATCTCAAGTGATGATATGCACTGTATTATATCGCAATAAATTTTAACAGGTATATCAATATTTGTTGACTATGCTTGTAAATATTATTTGTTTTAATAAAACGGAACGTTTAAAAATATTTACTCTTTTATTACCCCACGCCCAATGTAAATGACATTTAAATATCGATCAGAGAAAAATATAGGATGAATGAAATCGCGTTAGAAACGAAATCGGTATAGTCTGTTTTCGCATATTGGTCCGGACTTTTGTTCGAGTGAAATATAACGCGATACGTACCGCAAAATCGCGTCTTGAATTCCAACCGAAAATAGACGCGGTATATAAACCATTCGAGGAAGAGAGAGATTGAAAGAGACGCTGAAAGAAGAAAGCAGCGAGGAAGCGAAACGATATCGAGAGTTTATACAAGAATTAACAAGCATCCCTTTTGGAATCGATTAATAAAAAAAGAGCGTTGAAATATTTTGATAAGAAAAAGCGATGAAATGATAAATTTCTGAGGGGGAAACTTGAGAATCTTGAATCATCTTTAAAGCCCTGGGAGATCGAGTCCTCACAATGGTTCGTCGACGAGCGTTTATCTCGTTTTACAGGAGAACGCAATTTATAGCGAACCATATTTCTATCGAACTGCTAACGCGACCGACAATTGAGAATTACGTCGAGACGTTATCGTTGAAGTGAAGCTAAAGGAAGAGCAAAGAAAGCGCGTGTGGCACTTGGTCGGCAATGAAGCCGGAGGCGACAAGATCTCGAGAGGTGGTGCAGGGCCAGCACCCTTGACTGGTCGCTTGCCACCTTGGCTGTTTCTGATTATCTCTACTCTCCTTTTTCCGTTCGAGTAGATTATCTACGATGGAGAGGTCACGCCGCGCGGCGCCGAGAACGCGCGAAGGGAGGCAGAGCGGAGTAGGTGGATCTGCTGATCTCGAGGGAGGATGCAGAAGGTCGCGAAGCTGATGAGCGAGGGACGCCTAGACGGAAAGGGTCGCGCATGCGTTCCGTTCCGTCGACAAGGATGTTCGACGTTTTTTTCAGTCACCGGTCGACGCTGCGCCGGGCACCGTCGACGCGCACGTTCGAGAACAGCTTGGTACGGATCGCGGTTATTCTAACAATTATCTCAGACAGACTCAGTTCGGTGATCGTTGATCGGCCGCGATCGATCTTACGAATTTAAAAACGGTGGGAGACGAGTTTCCGGCGGAGGGTAGCCCTCGACTGGACGGACCGCTCTTCACGGGGTGCCACACGACGTGCCACGCGCCGCTCACGCGCCTTGCCTTTCTATCTCGCTGCCAAAAGCTGTCTCCCCGAGACCAAGTTCCCGCACGGTTCACGAGTTGCAAGCGTTCTCGTTCCCGCTTCCAGCTCGGTCATCGATGGATCGCGAGATCGAGTGCCTTCGTATCGCCCGGAAATCTTTGATCGGCCGCGTCGACCTGGTCGAGAGCGGTCCTGCTTGGTAGCAGGTGAACCCGCGCCACGGTACGAGAGGGCACCGAAGGTGAGAATCGCAGGTGAGAGAAACGGGGCAAGCGCGTCGCGAGGCACACGGCTACGCACCTGGATTTTACATGGCATAAAATGCGGCCAGCGGACGTGCGGCAGCTTCTTCGATCTCGAGACGATTGTGGCCAAAAACGCGGTGCGCGTCTCTATCGGTAGGCCGTGCGGGGATACGTGGTTCGTATCGCTCGTGGCATCGGACCGACAGGCGACCGACGACCGAATTACGAATTCTCGATGTCGTTCTTACTCCCACACCTGGTTCCGTCGTTTAGAGCAGCGACGTCAACGTTGTCGCGAAAAATCGGAATAAATCTACTCCGTGACGAATCATCCGGCGAGCGAGCTCGGGAATCGATCAACATCCGATCGAACGGCAGCCGCCTCTGAACGCGAACTTCGATTCGTCATCCTCGCGTCTGCTGGACGACGCTCAACGATCGGGAAGCATGTCGTTGCATTATCCTCAGGGGTATCGATATCGTCCGGCGAGCAAAGCTGCCGGGGCAGGTAACGGCGAGCAGGGTTCCGACAGTGACGTCGCCGAACTCAGTGACCTCGAGGACGACGAGGACGAAGATGGGGGCGGTCAATCGGCCAACAGGCGCATCGTCCACCGAGATCAGGAGGAGGACGACGACGACGAGGACGACGAGGAGGAAGACGAGGACGAGGACGATGACGACCAGGACGACGAAGAGGACGAGAACGAAGATGACGACGACGACGGGGTGGACGACGTGGACGGCGACGAGCTGCCCTATCCTGGTTTCGTGCCGGTCGCACTGCGATATCTCGACCAGAGCACACGACCGCGCAACTGGTGTCTGGCGCTCATCACTAATCCATATCCTTTTGGATCGCAACGACGCTGCCTGCTCGTTTATAAACGGTGATATCGTTATTTTTACTCTACTAACAGCTATCCGACGATCACCCTGCTTCGCGGAACGGAATAAGTAAGTTTCATATCGAATTTCACATCGTACCGCTTTCCCAGTTTCGTCCGGCATTTATTTTCCTCTCCGAAGCGAATACGCGACGCGGCGAGCAAATTCTTCCTCACGAAATTTCGAAATCTGACTGTTTCTCTCTCTCTCTCTCTCTCTCTCTACTTTTTCTCGACTCCATTCACACCAGGCGGAACTGAAATATTTCAACGGCTTTCATACCGTCCGCGTTTATCGATTGCAAAGAGCTCCCTTTTATTCTAATATATTTGACGAAAAAATTTCATGTCAAATTTATCATATCTCCAGTTGATTTTTATACTTCGACAAAATTATGCGTTATAAATCGTATTATTAAAATCTGTTTCTAATATTTCCGCATATTAGTTCGCTTGCATGGAAGTAACGAGGTGAGACGACCCGATTTTCTTTCAAGCGACAATTCCGCGTAAAATCGCAGACACGAGGAAGAGAGTTAAAAAGCGTGTTGTCGACGATATTTCCATGGTGGTATCGGATGGAATGCGCGAGGTCGTTTCGAAGGCGTTTTAAATAGGTCATTGATTGACCTATCCCCAGGCGAATCGTAGTATGCTCGTACAGATACTCGACCGAACGGGCACGTTTTGTCTACATTCCGGGTTCCCAACCTGTGGGTCGCGACCCCCGAGGCAGTCTCAACGTGCTTCCTGGAGTGTCGCAGCGGCTATTTCTGTCCGCAATTATTTTTATAAGGAATTCCATCGCGTAGGTTTCGAGCACTCCTTCACAATTCCGAGATATTTATTTTTAACGCACCTCTCTTCCTTTTAAAACTAACTTCTTTTTTTTGTAAGTGAAAAACGTAACGAGGACTGTAGAGAATCGTTTCTGATCTAACGTCGTCTCTCATTACTCTTTGGTAACAAATGCACGTTCGAATTACGTGCGCTGGAGGTCTTTGAAAAGCCGTGAGGGACGCTGACAAACGAGACCATCGGATCCATCGTTGTTACGAGAGTTTTACAGTTTTAAATATGCACGACCACGGTCCAATTTCGTCCGCTTGCGTAGAAGGAAACGGGTCGCTCGAGGACCTGAGAAAACCGCTGGGAACACTGGTACCGTGTTTCAGCTTCCTTCTCCGACCGCAACCGGGCCGCTCGTTTTACGTGTGTCTGTTTGTGCGTGAAATTGCGGGGTGTGCACTGTGTGCAGCGGGAACGCACGTGGTCGGCGGGCAAAGTTTCGTCAGCCAGCGAGCGAGCATCGGGCAATGCAACAAGCGTCGCCAGAAAGATTTCCATTGTGCACGCGGACAATGGACGGCTGGAACTACTGCGAATGCGGGCCAAGCATTTCGCAATTCTCCGCCGCTTTTATCCATCTCCCGTTTGCCCGTGGAAATTGAACAAACGTTCCCCTTGTACCTTTCCCTTCGACGAACGCTTATCTACTAGCCGGCAAGAATTTCTTCCGACGTTCCCTCCACCCCGCAGGCTCCACGGTCGATGGTCACTTCCTTCCTTTCAACTTTTCCAACGGAAGCGCGCGCTCGTTTTCTTCGGGACTTCTATTTCCACTTGCCTTTCGACGATCCTTCCACGAGATTTCCGTTTCGCCCTACTACATATTTCGCATCGCGTTTCGGAGGAGCGTCGATGAGAGTCGAAAAGTAGAACGCGAAGATCCTTCTCATTTTCAACGTATTCTCCATTCTGAATCGCAAGTAGTTGGCGTTAAAATTTCAACGGTACGCGACAGGATCCTCGTACAATTTCACGACGAACGTACGAGCGGGTTAGAAGCGCGACGTCTGCTTTATTATCGGGTTATACTACTCGATTGTCCGGCTGAATGATTCAGATGCAATTGCGGCACGTCACGAACACGCGAGCCGCTTCCGCTCTCGTGTTTTGCAGTACGAATCGCTTTCAATTTACGCAGCTTGCCCGGACCGAGACGAATGAAACCAATTTTTTTATTCACAGCGGGACCGAACGTTGTTGCACGGTCAAAAGTTTATAGCGAAAACAGAAACAGGAATCGATGAAACGTCGCCTGAACGGGACGAAACGGAGCGATTGATCAACCGATTTTTCGTCAGACATCGATGGAGCCGGAAGCAATAGCGAGCGAAACGATTTGCATACATCGGCGATGCAACGGCGACGGCCCCTCGGCTCTGTCCCGTCGAATTCCGTCGATATTGTTCCGATCCCGGTGACCCGTTTTCGTCGCCGCGCATTCTTTTTTCGCGCGCCCCAGAACTCCATTACAAACGGGGCGAAAAATAATCGAATGACCGGGAGGCGTCGACGAGGCAATCTTCGACAGGCCCGAATGCCGCCCGGAAGTGGCAGTCGATCGAGACAATTTGCCCGGCCGCTTCGCCCGGCTGATTGTCTATTAACCGTTCCGTAAACGAGATTCGAAGCGTCGCGTCGACGAGAAACGGGCCGGCAGAGACGTTGCCGATGGTTCGGATCGTTAGATAGGCGGAAGTAATCGATCATCGGTTGTACGAAACGGCGCGGCGCAGCGACGACGACGTCTCGTTCCGACTTTTGAGCGGGCCGTCTCTCCTTCCAGGACCGACTCGATTTACATGCTGGTAGCTGTCCCACTTTTGTCCCGATACCTTGGCCGGTTTACGAGATTCGATGCATTCGTCTCGTTAAATCCCAACCTACTTCCGAAAATGTTTTAAGACGCCGCATACTTATGCGGCTGTATTTCAGTTTCTGTTCATAGTCTATAACTTTTCTCGCGGGATTTGTTTTTAAATCCAATTTCGGTTCCAATATGTAAGCCCGAAGGCTTCCCATTTGCATAAAGCTGTCGTAAAGAAGGAAATGTGGCTCTATGGAGGAGCCACGGTGCCTTTGTGGAGTTCGCCCATATTTATTTCTCAATCTCACGATCGCGCGGAAGGCGATGAATCATCGGCGAGCAAAAGGAAAATCCTCGAGGTTCGCCGAACGGGAACGGTGGGGAAAGGATGGATTTTCAGCGGGATTTAGGTTTCCAGGCTCGACAGACTCGTCGGATCGATTGGCCGTATCGCGAGAACAGTGAATTCGAAAGGAGCGCGACGTGTCCTCCGATCGACGTCCCTGACACTTATTCGGTTTCGACGCGACGTTCGATTCTACCCAGCATCTCAACGTTTCGCCCCGCTCTTTTAACACCGTCTCCCGATCATCACGCTGCTAGCCACTAAAACGTTACGTTTGTCACACCGGTTGATCAATCGCAATTGCTCTACTTATTGGTCTCGTCTTCCAATTAAAATAACAACCGTCGGTTCGATCTTCGACGAATGGTTTCACGACGGTGAGCTGCTGAGTGTACAGAAACAAGTTCGATTCATATATCGTACTTTGACAGATCGAATCTGCTCGATTCGTTCATCATTTACAGTAATTTATGAAACATATGTACCATCTATGTTCACTCGGTCAAGAATAAATCATAATGGAACTGATGTTCCACACTAATATTCTATAATCACATTCAATTAACTCGTCCTGTTCATGATTCGAATATCTATTCGAAACGGTTTTTGTCCAATAATCGTGGAAACGTTAATAGAATGTCGATCCGTTATGTGCGACGGGGTACCTGAGTTATGCTCGAGGACGATCAGAGCCTCTCGATTCGTTTATCCGCGCATGCATCTTATCGGGTTGCGTATCGACGGGATCATCCTAGATAAAAAAGACAGTGGCCTGAATGTTTGCGGGTGCGAAAGATAAAAGTTATCGATGGTGTACCGGCGCGGTGCTACAAATCCAGCACGTTTCCCACTTTATGTTAACGGCTCACGAGGCAATAAAACGACGGGATCACCCGTCGCGGAAGGGTAAAAGGAAGCTGAACATCTTCCCGATAGTCACTTACTGTGTCAATTCTACATACTTCTTTTTATATGCTAGTCGCCCGTGAGACGAGCTCCCTGTATCGTACATCTGTAGGCCTTCCTATGGAAAATTACATAGACATCGTCAATTCACTGACAATATGGATTCATAATATTCCGGTAGTTATTAAGAACGTTTTATCTCTCAAGACAATAGCTGCTAATATTCCTATCTGGAAAGGATCAGAAGAAGAGAATTTAATTTGATGTCGATTCGTGGCACGTCGAACGAGGGGAAAATTTTTGTACGTGAGCGCAATGGGAATCGCGGTCACGCTTGGGTATTTCCTTCTTCTCGTCCGTTCTGATTGTTTAATAATTACAAAACCGAACTTTTTGCAAAACGCTCCGGCATATTAAGGATGTATTGGCTATACAGTCAATCCCAAAAGTTTATGCACTTTAGAAACGCATTTTTTAAAAAGAAATCAGACGTCGAAAGAACATTGCTAATAATAAACAACAACAAAAAATTTTTTTATTTTTCCGAGATTTTTCCAAGGGGTACCCCTTCAATTTCTTCCAAAT